ACAGGTAGCCGACACCTATCAAGATGACTCAATCCAGCTGTCAGTGACTTCATGGATTTCTACCATGTTTTAGCTCGGCCAACCCTAGCTTTCTTCCAACCTATTCCTACATCGCAAAACATAGCTCGACGAGGCAGTCAGTGGTTAGGTATACGTAACACATGTCCAAACCACCTCAACTGATGAAGTTTCAATACTTCATCTATTGATTTGCTAACCTTACCTAATACCCGTTTCCTAACAACAGCATTGCTTACTCGATATTCCCAAGGTAGACGAGCAATGTTTCGGAGACACCTACGATAGAAAGCAAGTAAACCACGAATATCTTTCGAACTCAATAACATGACAGCTGATACACACAACGCTTCAACAGTAAAATTCAACCAATGGAGGATAGGCTTGAAAATCAGTTAAGAATTGAAGGACAGATATTTGTGTGTACAGCAACAAAACATTACCTTAGGACACAGGAAAATCACAAAACTAGAAGTGATAAAAGTCAATAGGTAAAAAACAAAGGTTATGAGCAAGTATAAACTAGAAACTATGTCATTGTGTTTAACATTACAAGAAAGAAACTCATACGCAGTATCAAGAACCAAAAGTTTTGTGTTTAACATTGAAGGAGCCTATTGGTACTGGATTATTTCTCTAGAAATGCGTAGTAGTACTCAGAAGATCTAGAATTTTACATTGTACTGCAAATCTAGTCACCTAATAATCAACAGTCAATGCTTAAGATAATAATCACTTACTATGATTCAGCAGGATGTATTAAATTAATCAATTCTTTAATTAGTCAATTTTTTACTGAGTCAGAAATCTTGGTAAAACAACCTTGACCATGAACTAACAAATCTAAACTTCAAGAAGTTAATAATAGTCTATAAGACTTTTGTAATATGTGGTGGGTATGGAGGGTGTATCTGGGAGAGTCGGTAAACTCTCATTGTGCAAATGAATTTCAGGGTTTTGATGAACCAAGTAGCGTCAGAACCTGTTTTTTCATCACTGGCTATTATGGGACTGTCAGAATTTCTAATAGAAATGTCAAGACAGTTCTAATATATGAGGCGGAAACTTGGAGAACTACCAAAGCCATCATCTCGAAGATATAAGTATTTATTAAACGTTGTTTACGCAAAATATTTCGGATCCGTTGACCAGACACCATCGGTAACAACCTACTGTGATAGAGAACAAATCAGATTGAAGCATAGGAAGAAATGAGAAGTGTTGGAAGTGGATAGAACATATACTTATAAAAGTACCAAACTGCGTCAAAAGATAAGCCCATACTTAGAATCCTCAAGGCCAGAGGAAAATAGGAAGGCCAATGAAAACATTACGCTGAGAAATGGAGACAGATAAGAGAAGAATGGACAAAAATTAGATAGAACTGGAAAATTAGGCCTAGGACAGAGTATGTTGGAGAATACTGACCGTTGGCCTATGCTCCGTTGAGGGTTACAGACGTAAGTACGTAATCAAGTAATGAGACTGTATCTCTTAATGTTTCTCTATGGCCTAGTGGATTGCACGTCTATGTCAAAGGAGTGGCCTCCGAAGAAAATCACTTAGTTCGGTTTGAGCATTTGAGAAGTATCCCAGTCCCTAAAAAAACAACTTCATTGATTTGTATAGCCTCATTGTTTTGTTTTGTTTAAGTAAATAAATGAGTTATAACAAGAGATCAACAGAATAAATACGTAATATTTATTCATTTTTTCTTATTCTCAATATAATATTAAGTTATCAAACAATTTGGTATATACAGAGATTTTATTGAGTGATTTAATATAATTTATGTACATTAATAATTTGATTTTGTTTAAAAAATATCATTTAGAAAAGTTATTTTATATTATTGAGACGAATAAAAGTGAACTCAACATTAAAAACACTTAAATAGCGATGAAAAAAAACAATAAACATTCAAACTCTTGAATAAATAATGCACACTATTCATTGGATTGAATTGGATTGAAAATTGTTTTCATCAAGCATTATCATGAATTACAAACGAATATTAGTCAACGGTGGAACACTCTATAAAAGTTTGGTAGTTGAAATTGACTAGAAAAATGTCAACTGGATAATATTACGTAATAAGACGCATGAATTAAATCGGATAAACAACTGATTTGACATAGAGATAGATGATTCTATTTTAAATGATTAAGTTAGATCAGTAGTGATAAATGAGCCAGTCAGTCGATCGGTCAATAACAACATAGGACTTCGTAAGTACGTTACGTACATCAGTTCAAGTTGCCATACCATACAACATTAGCACAGAGATGCAATTGTCAAGTCCAATACAACAGTAGTAGAGGTAGTAAAAGTATTAGAAGTAATCAGAGAGATCAGGGTTCGACGATATTATTCAAGAATCTAGTGAAATAAACTTACAAATAAAAAGATAAAGGCAATGAGGAACTCTGAAGGTGAGGATTTGAGAGAACACAAATGGTTTTGAGCTATGTTATTCAGGGTCTCTAACCACCGATTACTATCATCTCGCAGGCGCCAACAAGGCAGTCGACATCTACCGACATGACTCAGTTTACTTAACAGTGACTTCATGGATTTGTACCATGTTTTGTTCTGGCCGCCCCTAGGTTTCTTTCAACCTATTTGTACATCGTAGAATATAGCTCGATGAGGAAGTAGGGTTCGACGATATAATTCAAGAAGTAGAATCTAGTGAAATAAACTTACAAAGAAAAAGATAAAGGTGATGAGGAATTCAGAAGGTTAGGAGTGATAAATGAAAAAGGAAGTGGAAATTTTCGATTACTTATATAAATTCGATAACAGCCATATCATTATTGTCAGCTAATAATGATTAATGCTTTTTTTTTCTTCCAATGTTTGGCAACTATATTAGAAATGATAAATTTTTCTGTCACAATGTTTACTTATAAAAAGTACTCTTTAAAAGCGATCATTTTGTGTACAGTTTGGAATATGAGTTGTTTTATTTTTATTTCCTATTAAGGAAAAATCTCTACACTACACCTAATATTTTGAAAAATTTCCTATTCATTAAACTAACTTAATGATATATTTATATAACCGATTCTCCCTATAGTGGAATTTCCATCCACGGCCTCGCAGTTGGTAATCAAAAAACAGGAGATTCAGTCCCGCGTCTGGACACTTCACCTATGGACAACTGAGTTGGTAACTCAACAGTCGTAATGCTTAGTAGGTAAGTGAATGATCAGAAAGTTATGAGTTTTTCATTTAACAGTATGGCATCATATGTGAAAAAGAAGATTCTAGGTAGAACTGCAGAAGTTCAAGTACGAAATCGTCATCATTTGAGTCCAACTTAGTCAGGTATGATATAGTTATGCACTTAAAAAATGGAGGATGGTCACGCGTTATCGCAATTTCGTTGTGTAGAGGCAAAAGATTCATGCTCATGGTCGAAAGTCATGGGATTCGATAATCTGTGCAGTTTTAGATGCATACTCATGAGGTATTCCATACGAAAGCTAACCAGTAGTCTAGTAATTCCTAGTTTCGATGGTGATCTAACCAATATCAGTCCATGATGTAAACTAAGAAAACCCCATAATTTCAAAACAGCTCCTAAGCTATTAATCATATAAGTTGGTTTATCGCTTGAACATCAGTCAAGCAGTCAGTTAGTCAGTCAGTTACAACGTAAAACTTCGTACGTACGTACATCAGTTCAAGTCATTTAAACATATTTTCGAATAAATCAAAATATATGTTATTTGAAAGCTGAGAATTAGTATTACTCCATCTCTAGTATTATTTAGCAATAAAAAATCACAACTCTCAACAATTTATATGTTACTAACTGTTGGTGTAAAAGTGCTAATATGAGGAAATTTCATGCACTAATGATGTCACAATCCGTCAGAATAAACTAGTGTTGAAAAATTCTCAATAAATGCACAGGCACTAAGCATTTGATAACATAGAAACTTTCAAACCATTGAGGAAATCCAAAAATCATTTTTTAAAGTAGCTTGTTATTAGATTTAAATTAATGATGCATTGATGATGGCTAACGTGCAAGAAAGCTCAGTTTGTACTTGATTTCATTGATAAATGAGACATATATTCGATCACATCAATCAGTTATAGAACTCACGACCAATACGTCGTATGCATACGGTTGGTTAGAATTTAGAAACATTAGCTAAGAAGAAAGAGGCAATGTTGTTAATTTGATTGAAATGTAATCACTACCAAGGATTGGAAGAGAAGAATCGGTAGTATACAATGGTAAAGAATATTTTGCTAAGATTGGATATAGGATTATCATAGGGCTAGAGTATATGTAAAACTAAATGCCAGTTTTACTAATAAGTTTGTTACTAATTGTTATGCTCGTCACTTCATATGCTTGGAACTATTACAGGGTTCACCTTACTAGATAAACAAGAACAAGATGATAAACCAGTGACAAGGTAGGCTACTCTGATCCGTTGCCCCAAAGGAACAGACGAAAAAGTCTTGATATAGCGTAGAAAATGTATTCTACAAACACCCAGAAAGCACAATAGTCTCAAGCACATAAATCGCGTTTATTTATACATCGTAGAAACGTCCTTGGAAGAGTCACACTAAAACAACACGGTAACCAATCGCAGACAAGGATTTTCCTGGTGGGAAATGTGATCTCAAGGCCAAATGATCAGCTGATGAATAAAATCCAAAATTAAGACATTTATCAAGCGAGTTTTGGGGATCTAACATCCCCAACACTAATGAGTACTGAAATGTCTTTCATCTGTCAACAAGACTCAACTTACAAAATCTCAAGTTACAGTTAAACACACTGGGATATCGACTTAAGAATGCATTCAATAAATGTGAATACATCACTGGTTATGTGTGTTATTAAGCCATACGATCGCAAAGCGTAGATAGAGATCATTAAAATACATAATTTGCTAGATTTTTTTTTACGTATTAAAACTAATCGTCATAAACAAAAACAGAAAATAACTTACCAGAAATCATGAAAATCAAAACCTATATAAGCTAAATGTTCATTTTTCGATAATAGAATATGCCGTAAAAATGCATTTGTCAATAGAGTTTCACGATGTTTACGTCCAGAACTTAATAAATTCACAATCAGAATACGTTTGAATTCTTGAAAGCGTTCTGACCAATACTTGTTGAATGCTTCTTGATTTTCATTTTGTGCTGTGAAGAATATAGATATATTTTTTTGTTTTGATTGAGAAAATAAATGAATTAATTAATAGATGGAAAAATGATTTTTTTTTTTGAAAATTAAAAACTTTTTTTTCTTTAAAAAAATAAATAGATAATACAAAACTACTCTTAGAATTAGTTGAATACTAGACATCGATATGTCATATACCTTAGTTAGCACCGAAAAAAAAACATAAAAGAAAGTAGATTTCTGAAATGAAAATCCTAGATAATCATTAGAAGACAAATAAATAAGGAGTTTATCACTTTAATTAGAGTTATGGAGATTAGAGTTTTTACACATTTGAAATCATCAATTAATCAATGATTGTTGGACCACCATTAGAAACCTGGAAGCACTGAAACACGGCCGTCCCGTCCTGGTATTGGACTTATAAGTAGAAGTGCGCATCCACGACTCTTACACCTCACGGGATTCGAACCCAGGACCTTCGGTCTTGTGTGTGGACGCCTAACCCCTAGACTACTAGGCTGGCATCTAATGGTATTAGCGTCTAACTCTGATTGATCAAGAGATTTTGCGCGACATCACTCGCTTATCTTTGGTAGTTACTGCCTACACCCGACAGGGTTGAACTCCACTGGTTATGTCTTCTCACTAGAACTCACAAAGCTAGCTAGTCACTAGTGAGTACTTCATGCTATGATGTAGTAATAATCTCAGTAAATCTAAAAATAACTTTAGTAATCAATGCCTCTATGAATAACAATTAAAACTAACAATAATAATAATAATAGTAAGTAATAAAAATTTCGACAGTAAACAACTTTCAATGATTGTGTTATAAATTATTGAAATCAGAATTAACTAGTCACGACGGAAGCAGATTAGATAGTTAAGTAACAATTAGAACTCTTAAAAAAATAAAGTAGAATTTCTAAATAATTCATAATGAACAATATAGTTGATTACACAATTGTATTCAATTATGTATTAGACGATACTTAAAGATAATTTTACTGAGAAGAGAATTTACTTAAAAAAATCTTATTTATCATGAATATTTATTCTTAATATTATTTATTCATGGGAAATTTGTTTGAATTTGTTCAATTGTGATTGATGATCAATGGTAATAAGATTCAAATGAGTAGTAGTTATTATATTAGAATAACAAGTCTGATTGCTTCTTCCTTGATTAGTTAGTTAATTACTATTTCCACTCTTTTCACTTTTTAATTATTATCAAATTAACTAATAACAATTGTTGAATCATTATTGATTTTTTTTTAAATTTGGTTTTATCAACAATGGACAATGAACAATGAAAGAACAACATTTGTAAAATTATCAAATCTAAAAAAAGATGACATTTTTTACTGTCTAATTCTTTGTGTCGAAATACTCAATAAAACAACTGTCTCCACAGTCTCAGCTAAACTACTTATAAGTAGTTTGTCTAGTTGTCCTGAAAACTACACGAATTTTCACTCTATTGTATGTAAATATGATCAACAAATCCAACAGTTGAAGACTTCACTCTGTATTTAGACAGACAAGCATGAAGTTCATAAGCTGGGGTACATTTTGACGAATTGTCATTTGAAAGCACAGTTCAGTGGTAAGTCTTCATGAAATTAAAAAAAATCAATATGAACATTCAAAAAAAAACTACTTGCTATAATATTTGAGCATTGGAGAGAATGTTGACAAAAAAGATAATAGTTCAGCAGGATTATATTACTTGTTTCTTGTGCTTTTTCAACAACAAGATAAAATGTGAAAAATATGAAGTATTTGCGTTATACATTGCGAACAATGTTGGTCACACATATACACCTGTCAAGGCATTTTATATGAAGAATAATCAAAGGTCAATTAAATAAAAGTTCAAATAATTGTAAATAAAGGAGAGATAAAGGGTAGGAAAATTGTCACATTACCCTAGGCTTAAAGATTACCAGGGTAAATTCAAGGTTATGATAAATTGTTTCTGCACACATAGAGAAGGTTTTAATTTACGAATAACCAAGGCCTAAATAAACCTGAAAATTCGTCCTTCAACGTTTCAATATAATATTCTAAAGGCTGTCTTGATGTCAATCTTATGCCCTGTCTCAATTATATGTTTTTTGCGATCGATGATCATGGTTTTTTCTTTCCCTCGTTTATCGGCTCATCTGACGTTCACTGATTTTGAAGCCACTTAGGTACATGTTTCATAACCCTTGATTGCAAAGTCCGATTATTCCTCCCTATGTATGTGTGTTCACACAAACATGTGAATTGCTAAACACCATGGGATGTGATGTAATCATTCGAGCAACGTTTAGGTCGATGTGGAATCATGGGGTTAGTCTTTTCAATTACAATCAGTTTAGCAACGTAGTATGTTTTCTCTATGGCTACTTTTAGTCGCTGTCTTAAGATTAAACCATTTGTTTCACCTCTAAGTTGTAAAGTGATATAAACCTTTTTCTTCTCAGTAGAATGAAAAACAGGCTTTTGTCTTAAATGATTTCTACACCTATTGATGAACTTTAGCAGATAACCGTTTGAAATCAATGTTTCACTTAGGAATTTCGCATCGTCTTCAAATGTATCCGTGGTGCAAATCCTTTGTGCCCTATTGAAGAAGCATTTTACCAAACCTCACTTGTGTTGCAGTGGACAAAAACTTCTGAAATTTAAGTACTGCCCAGTCCAGGTTGGTTTTCGTTAAACTGAACGCTTCATAGTTCCATTCTCTCTTCGACTCAACAGTATGTCTAAACAGGGCAATTAGTTATTATTTTCTGTTTTGTGGGATAGGATAATGTCATTCTGGAGACTATTGAAATTATTCAGTAACTAAGAGACGTTGAGTTCTTTATCACATATACCTAGAATATCATCCATATATCTTCTATACAGAGTAAGCTTATTGATGGGCTCATTCCACAAATTTTCAAAATATGCCATATAAACATCAAGTAAGGGAGGTTCCAACGGAATATCCATAGCAACGCCATCAGTTTGTTGGAAATGTTCATCATCAAACGTGAAATGAACGATTATCACCTTATGTCTATTTGAAATTTTAATTAAGTGGATATTTTACTAATCTTCATATAAAATGCCTTGATAAGTATGTGTGACCAGATTGTTCGACATGTATAACGCAAATACATCACATTTTTCAGATCAATTACGTCTTCTCACTGTTCTATCAAAATTTATAAAAGGAACAAACTGTTTTAAACAATAAAATGATAACAGCTTACATGTCTTCAAATTATAAATCAAACTATTTTATCTCAGAAATTTATATATATATATATATATATATATATATATATATATAATATGAATTCAGTGTTAGTATATGCAGTTAATTAAAAAAATTACAAGTTGATGTATTCAAGTCGGAACAACAACTTGTATTAACTAGAGGCGCACTGGTGAAATTTACAATGTGGGCATTTGGATCTGTGATTTAGCATTTTTTTTAAAAACGGCTTCAACTATAAAGTTATTGAATCATTGTGGGTGTATGTTGACTATTAGTGAAAAGAGCTCAAAATCATTTGCGATGGCGCAAGTGCATCCATTCATTGTGCTCTCTCAAATCCTCATCTTCAAGATTCGTCAGCACCTCTACCTTTGTCTTTCTAAACTTATCTCATTGAATTATACTTCTTAAATAATATCTTCAAACCCTAGTCTTCTTCATTACCATTAATACCTCTACTATCTTTATCACTATTGGATTTGATTTGACATTTGGGTCTCTGTGTTAATATGGTATGGCAACATGAACTTATGTACATACGTACGAAGTTCTACGTTGCAACTGACTGACTAACTGATTAGTGAAAAGATATTGATACTTGAAATCTGACTGGGCAGTATTCCATAACATTTAAAAAAAAGCAAACCGTACCCACAGTTTGTATATACAATAGATAAAATGCACATTAGTATTTGTCAACTTTTAATAAGTCACAATATGATGCAAAAAAAAACCACACGACCACTACCAGCTAATAACAACACAGTAACTAGTTGTTTTTTTTTTCAAAAAAAAAAGTGCATTGATGACCATAGAATTTTCCAATGTCATATGAATTCTAATTAATTATATTTGCTAATCACGTGTAAATGTAAATGTTTACAATCTATCACAAATCTATTTAATGTTACACACAACATTCAGTTCAGATCTTATTATTATTATTATTATTATTTTCATTTTCTATTGTAGTTTGAAGCAACAATCAATCAATATGTAACTGTCATAGAATTCATGTATCATTTTATATAAATTCTATGATAAAAAAAAGTAGATGTCTTAGAAGTAACACTAAATTGTAACTCTATTTTGCAATAAGAATATAATTGACAACAAATTAGTTTTATAAAACTTTATACATTATATATCATTAAGATAAGGGTCTCTATAAATATCGATTTGTAGGGTGAATTTTGTCAAGCGACGCTATTGCAATAAAAACATGTCCCGACATGACATAAAGGGTATTAAGTGTGTTTGAACCGATTTGCATCAATCTGGGCTGTATCACTTACTACCCTATGCTAAACAAATCTATATACCATGAGCTATATTGTTGCATAGAGCTGAATGCTTCCTATGAGATCAGAGGTTCATTATGAACATTTTGGATGGCTTGGCATTGTTTTGGCACGGTTTGCTTACAGTTCATATACTGATTTGGTTCGCGGGATAACAGATTTCATTGATACTGGAGGCTGTCTTGCAACATGCCCGAGCGCCACTGTCAATGAAACGCTATAATGCATATCACCATTGATAATGATAATGAGTTTGACAGTTCAGTCAGTCAGATGCAACGTAGAACTTCGTACGTAAGTACATCAGTTCATGTTGCCATACCACATCAGCACAGAGATATAATTGACAATTCAAATCCAATAGTAGAAGAGGTAGTAAATGTATTAGAAGTAATCGAAGAGGTTAGTATTAGAAGATATTACTCAAGAAGTATGATTCAATGAGAAAAGTTTA